CTTTCAGCTCCTAGAAGTCTGCAGCAGGGGTGCCTGAATTATGGATGCACAGAGAGGAACCCCCACTCTAGTGGCCACCCCTGGCCCACATGGAGGCAGGGGCTGTATTCAATAATCTTTATCACAAATATTTCACATGCAACTGTTTCAAAATGTTAGTTTCACTAGACCCATCCCTGTGATTAGTAATAAATGTGTTTGTGCTAACAACAACAACAACAAAAAAAAAAAGAGTCTTGAGTCCATTTTTGATGTTAGATGACTGATAGCAGTCAAGGCCCACTTTCCCTCTGCCCCTAAGGGACAGCTGGTACAGAAGCCCTCCTGACCCCTCCTATACTCTTAGGACTTAAATCTGGGGTCCCTTGCCCCAGTCCTCACTTGGAAACTTGCTTTGGGCCAGTATGAAGGCCAGATGGCATACTCGGGAGCTACTTGCACCTCTGTTTTCCCCATGAGTTCTTTGGATGACTGACAAGCTTTCTTTCAAGTAGCCCTGTTGTGTGGCATGTCATCAGCCGCTGCATCCATCCAGCCCATTGTTAATTGGAAACGAAGTCTCAATGATTGTTAGACAAAGAGTTTATTAGATAATCAAAGTTGAGGAGCTGAACCAGGAAGCAATCTGACAGTTTTACTCTGAGAGTTGTTCCAATAGTTTGGCATTAAAAATGTAATTATTCTTGATAGGAGGGCCTTCTAGCTCTAAGTTGTCCTGACCTAAAGATATGCTGATGCTAGAAGAAGGCCATGCAGGATTTAATTTCTTACTTTCCAAAGAATGCACTACAGAGAAAGCTGGGTGACCGTTATTACGTTTTCTTATATCTGGCTCCTTGGTCTTCAGTGGGCATGAAAAGACTGCTTTTACTCTTGTGTGACCGATAGGATAGAGTCTGTTCACACCTTAAGTCTATGACTTGGCTTTTTTCTCTTGCCTCTAGATGGGGGGAGTACCCAGAAATTTTTGTAATATGTTCACACCATTCATCGGACGTGGGTCCATTACACTTTTGTGGGTTGACCACAAAATAACTGCCTCATGGTCAGAATGGGCGGGTTTGGAGATGCCACTTTCCGTGATCTTTATCGTGTGCTCTTGGTCACAGAGTACACATCCTGCTTGGGGTGTTTGGTGGGCTCCTCAATGAACTCAAGTGAACAGAGGGTTAATGAGAGTTAAGGCATTTTCCTTGTTGGCTCAGGTTGCCAAGTCATAGGACACAGGATCAGATCACCTTGTACACTAGCTTCTTGGCCGTAAATGAAAGCTAGATGAGATATGAACCATGCACATCACATGCTTCAATGTTTCCCCGAAGGTATTTTTCCCACTGAGAGGATGTTTGACAAGGCTGGCTCGGGGAACAGACATTCCTGAAGACCCGCTCCACAACATTGCTATGTAATTTCACCTCACTGTCCCTCTATCAGACATGCTTTAGAACTGCTAGTTTCACCACCTCCTTTTCTTGTCACAAGGGAGAAAATACTTTTGTGCAGTGTCTTTAATTTGGCCCAGACACCCATCAAGAGAACATACCTGTTGAGTTGGTTACATTTGCACTGTGCTGGTGCTGAGCTGTGGGCCACTTGCTCATTCCTGCTGAGCCTTTGATACAGATTTGAGTCACATTTGGGGAAGAGTAGAAGATTGAAGCTCTATCAGGTTCTATGGGGAGAGGCCTTGATTCTCAGATAATTGTCAAGAGAAGCATTAACCGGAGAGTAACCCCCTTCTATTGAGTGCTCAGGGGGAAACAGATACCCTGTGCAGCATGAGGGCACTGGGCAGTCGCTGTTCGAGGACCAGCTGTTACAGGGTGATGTGCTAAGGGCCACACTCCTAAGAACAGGGACCCTGAGGCCTAAAGGGCTTTGTAGCCACTGCCACCCATGCCTCTGCTGTGACAGAATCCAGATTCTTGGGGCGATGTATGAAAGGGAAGGTGTTCTGTGGCACAAACACTTAGCTAAAATGGCCCCAAATGTTTTATCCTGGGCCCTCCTAAAGGACCTGGGACACTTGGGCAGGAAATAACTGACTCAGACGTAAGCTGTACATTCCAAAAAAAGGCCCTTCTCTCACTTCTGAACACTGCACATTCCGCCAGTTAAGAGCAATGTGTGTACCTGAGATGGATTATGCTGTATAGTTTTGATCAGGTGAGTTTATCCTGAGAAAGTGGTTTATTGTGAACAGCTGTTTTTACTCTGGGGCAGAGGGCCGTCCAAGTGGTGGGCATCAGTCACAAGGATGCGGCATGCCCGTGTGACTGACCCTGGACACTAGGCTCAGGTAAGCTTTCCTTGTCAGCAGCCCTTGGCTCATGTTGTTACATTATTGCTGGGAAAGTGAAGCGTGTCACAACTCCACTGAGAGAGGGCATCTGGGGTTGTGTGCCTGGGCTCTGCTGGCCATTGTCCAGCACCTCTTTCCTTTGGGGATTTGTATCTATCCTTTTGCTCTAACAAACCACAACTATTCCTGAGTCTAAGTTCTTCTAGTGAATCTGCCAGCCTGAAGGTCCTCAGGTCCTGGGGACCCCAACCTAGCAACACAACCCGATGGAGCTCACCCTGGAAGGCATCGCAGTGACTATCGGTCTCCACCAGTGCAGCTGTGGAACCACATGCTGAAGGTACGTCTGATCCCAGTGTGGCCTGGGGCTCCTACAGGCGAGTCCTAATACTGAGTCAATGCCCTGTAGGAAGGTGGATCCACCATGAACAGCGGGAGCTACTTGTACCTACAACCACCTCCAAATACAACTCTATAAGGGGAAGAAGTGGAAATGGAGACATCTCCAATTTGACCTCACTGAAAATCCAAATTTTTAATAACATAAACAATGCAGTTAGAATATGAAAAGCATGCTAGTTGACTTTTGCACCTAAATGATATTTTTTGGCTTTGAACTAACTTTAACTTCTGTTGGGATGTGCAGGTTGGCCTGGAAGATATGAGCCAATGTAAAAAGAGGCAACCTTTTTATTTCCAAGAATGACGGTTGACCTGGAAACCCCATAAACTTATAAACCATTAAGAATTTCTAGACTAACAGTCATTAGCTATAAAATATACAAAAACATATATGCAATCAATATATCTTAGAAAAAAATTTCACAAAATTAAACTAAACTTGAATAAGCATAAGAACAGATACAAAGAAAACTTTTGATGGCTGGAGGCAGATGTGAATGAACAATTATCTACCACATTCTTTGACGTGAAGATTTAATGTTACAGAGAACCATATTAATTCAAAAATTAGTCAGTTCTAAACAAAATCTCAGTGAGATATGCAGAGGCATGGAAGGGTTGAGTTTTTTGTTTTTTTTAAAGATTTATTTATTTATGCATACAAGAACTGTGGTGTAAGCCAGAGGTGTGGGGGGTGAAAGGATTCACCAGAGACAAGACTGGGGAGCAGAACAGGTAGGTCCACGGAAACACACTGCTGAGGGGAGCAGTGGGCGAGACAGAAGAGATCTGTTGTGCCATTTGGGTTTCTCCCTGGCTGGCTGGGCATTGAACTTGGGGTGCAGTGACTGGTGATAGACTGATGGTGCTGTCTTTAACCCCTGCACCACCAGGGAGAAGGGGTTGAGGTCTGAGGACATGATTCCTTGATTAAATCAACTTTTTACAAACCCGCTTAAAATGTGGTCCTGGTCTTACTGTAGATTAAATTATGAAGTTAGACAGGTCTACAGAGCAGTGAGTAATGCAATTAAAGAATGAGGTAGGGACCTTGGACCTTACATCCCCAAGAAGATAGACTTAAGAGTTAAATGTAAACTATGTAACCAAAGAAGAATTAAGGAAGGGGCTTTCTAAGTACTAGAGAAAATTATAAAATTAAAAAATTCAAATAGCCCTTATTCACAGAATCTGAGAACTGCACACTAAAAATGTAGTAACAAAGAGAGAAAATGTATGTGTCAAGGCAATATGTGTGCTTGTGTTTATGTATGTATATGTATATGTGTGTCCATTTATCTACAAATAATTGGAATAATGGATAAAAGACAGGAGTAAAGTCAGATGAACAGAAAAAGGTTAAAAAAACTAATAATAATAAAATTTCTGATGTATGAAAATGGCAGTTACAGTGAGGGTGATGCCAAGCTGAAGAAGGTGTGGGAGGTGTCCACCCCACCCCCATCCCAAGAGGAGATAAGCTACACGTGAATAAAAACTAGGAGCATCGTGCTTGTTCAGCCTGGAAACACAAACATCTCTATAGTATTCATGGCCTCTGTCCGTTAACTCCACTTCTTAGAATGTATCTTGAGAGATAATCAAGATGGGCATACAAGTTGATGTTCCAGAATAATTTATAGGTACAGCTAATTATGATTTTTTTTAAAAAAAGATTTATTTATTTATTTATTTATACAAGCACTGGGTACAGTCAGAAGCGTGGGAGGGCGAGAGAATTCACCAGAGCCAGAGCGGGGAGCAGAGCAGGCAGAAGGACCGAAGTACACTGCTGAGGGGAGCAGCGGGCGGCAGGAGAGGTCTGCGCGCTATGTGGGACACTCCTCTGGTGGCCGGGGAGCAGCCGGGGATCGAACCAGTGCTGCAGAGGCTGCGGGCAGCTTCACAACCCAGCGCTCAACCGCTGCACCATTGGGGAGGCCCTAATTATGATTTTTGACAATAAAGAAACAGATAAATCAATAGAAAATAATGTAGCCATCAACAGTTTTTGGAAAATATAACATAAAAAAGCGCATCATAAAATCTTAAATAGAAGAGGATAAAAATAACATGCAGGGCCTCCCCAGTGGCACAGCGGTTGAGCGCTGGGCTGCGAAGCTGCCCGCAGCCTCTGCAGCGCCAGTTCGATCCCCGGCCGCAGGACGCGGGTCCCACATGGCGAGCAGACCTCTCCTGCCACCCGCTGCTCCCCTCAGCAGTGTGCTGCGGTCCTTCTGCCTGTTTTGCTCTCCGCTCTAGCTCTGGTGAATTCTCTCACCCTCCTGCGCTTCTGACTGTACCCAGTGCTTGTATAAATAAATAAATAAATCTTAAAAAAAAAAATAACATGCAGATTATGAATCCAGTTTTGCTTTAAAAGTACACACACATGGGCCTCTCCGGTGGCGCAGCGGTTGAGCGCTGGGTTGCGAAGCTGCCCGCGGCCTCTGCGGCGCCAGTTCAATCCCTGGCTGCTCCCCGGCCACAGGAGGAGGGTCCCACATGGCCCTTCTGCCTGCTCTGCTCCCCACTCTGGCTCTGGTGAATTCTCTTACCCTCCCATGCTTCTGACTGTACCCAGTGCATGTATAAACAAAACAAACAAATAAATAAATAAAGCATGCCTCTATAAAAAAAAGGGATTTTTAAAAAAAAAAAAAAAAAAAAAAAAAAGTACACACACACATACACACCTGTACACAAAAACTAGAAGGAACTGCATCTCCAAGTAACGACTGTGAACTGACGCTTTCATTTTATTCTTATGATTTAAAAAAAAAAGTCTTCAATATACATGTATTACTCACATAATCATAAAAGAAAGTTTATATGTAAATAAAAGAAAAACATCAAAACTCTAGGGGAAAGACAGGCAGCTGGTACAAATAACTTTCAAAACCAATAATAAAAGCATATTCAGGTCCTCTCTGTTGGCCTAGGGGTTAAGTCTCAGTGCTGTCGCCACCATGGCCTGGCCAGGGAACTACCCACATGTGGTGCATCAGACCTCTCCCGGCTTGCCCACTGTCCCCCTCAGCAGTGTATCTCAGTCAATCCGCCTGCTCTGCTCCCCACTCTGTCTCTGGTGAATCCTCTCACCCCCCACACCTCTGACCTACACCCCCATTCTTCCACGCAAAAAACAAAAACAAAACAAAAACATGTTCATTATCCTGCTTCATTAGTTACCAAAGGTGTGAAGCAGAACAGTAAGGCGCTGCTGTCAACTGCTTACGAACAGCACTGTGGGGCCGACTGTAGGGTGTCTGGGGCCCACAAAGATACTTCCATTTTAATTTTTTTTTTAAATAAATCAGTTTGACAATAATAAATCAGCCTAGATTATATTTGACTTTTACTAACAGTCATAAAGCAGAATTTTTTGTTTGTCATGGAGAAAGGACCCGGGGCTACATAAGGCCAGGCTGCCTCGCACGAGCAGGAATGCAACAGAGGCAGATGCCCAGGGTCACTGCTGTGTGGTCACCACATCCTGGACAAAGACCACCTGCACACCCCGCTCCCAGCTGTGCCTAGATCCAGAGAGGGCTGTGCAGGGGTCTGGGGCTGCTGATTGATTACTTCATAGAGATCAGTATTACTTTGTGACCATACCACAAAAAACATACTAAAATGATCCCTCAAGCTATTTCCTTTTTTTTTTTAAAAGATTTATTTTTATACAAGAGCCAGGGTACAGGCCAGATGCGCGGGAGGGCGAGAGGATCCACCAGAGACAGATCGGGGAACAGAACAGGCAAACTGACTGAAATACACTGCTGAGGGGAGCAGCGGGCGAGACAGGAGAGGTCTGCTCACCATGTGGGATTCTCGCTGTCCGGCCAGGATTGAACCCGTGCTGCAGAGGCTGCGGACAGCTCCACATTGCAGCGCTCAACTGCCTGCACCTCCAGGGAGGCCCTCAAGCTATTTCCTTTATCTAAAATTTTTCACCCCTAGGTAATTTTCTAAAAGACTGAAAAAGCATAATACAAAAAGATGCTCATGAGGAATGATGTATAATAGTGAAAAACATGGAGATAACTTCAACAGCCAATCAAAGGTCTAACAGGACAGAATACTATGCCTCCAGTTAGAACTGTGACTCCAAAGATGGTACATGTACTTGGAGAAAATTCTGCCATGCAGTTAAGTGGAAAAATGATAGAGAGGTATACATATGTAAGATATATATGCATGTATATACATATACACATATATACACACTATGTTCAGAGTTACGTAAAAATGCAGTATGAAAAAGCAGACGGTAATGTATCAAAGCGTGAAATGCAGTTTTACTGAGAGTTAGGGGCATTTCCCCACACAATCCCCCATTTTCTGAAATGTTGCTATTTTGCCTCCATACTTTAAAAAGTAAAGCAAGAGCATTTAATAAACTATAGACCTCTATACAAATGTAAAGTATTATCACTGGAAGGCAGCTTATACTTGCTTAGAATGGAGTAGAAATAACACTAGTCCCAGATGAACTGTCCCCCGTCTCCTCTTCCAGTGGAGCTGAGCTGGGGAGCTCGGCTAAGTGCTGAGAAAAGGCCCTGCAGGGGCCTGGGGTGAAGGCACACTTCTTGAAACATCCATTCTGATATTGTACTCATCTTCCCTGGATGCACCAGGCACCTGCCTGTGTGCTCCTAGTCTACCCCTATGGACTAGTTGGCCAGCTGTGACGTTGCCATATCAGCTCCCAGCTACTCTGGTGCTTGCTGTGATGCTGTGCCAGAGCACTGCCACTAACTCTGTAGGGTAAGTCCAGGAAATGTGCCTCTTCCCAAGCCTGCACCATCCCCTCCTAGACTATAATAATGTTCACTTGGAAGTACTACTGCTCGCAATTCTTCAGCTCTATTTTGATTCTTATTATTACTCTAAATGTAACAGTTCACAGAAGATATTCCTGATGGAAATCTGCCAGGATCCTGTCAGAGGGCAATGACTGACATGTCTTCTTTTTATCTGCAGGAAAGATGTATTTCCTTTGTCAGTGACTTCCAAATTCACCAAGGAAAATGCATCCTCAAATGGCCCTCATCTCTCCTCTTCTGAGGTGGGTCCATTTCCAGGGAGGTGACACCTAATAGGTCCTGGGGTGGAAGGGCAGGCTTGCCATCTGGAAGTGCCAATGGAATACATACACGAGCCACCCTGCTTCCACAGCTCAGCCTGGGCTGGGGTGAAGGGGCCACTGCCAGGAAAAGCTACATTAATTCCTTGGCTTGGTGCCCAGCACGAAATTTCTGCTGGCTGAGGGCTGAACCACACACAGGAGTTTTGCCACATCCAGTGCATTTATTGAGTCCATACTACTCACCCCTGTGGCCCCCGCACCCAGCAGGGTACTGGGCATGTAGTATGTGCTCAGTAAGTGCTTGTTGAACTGAATGGCAAAGGGCTTCTCTTCACTGTGTGTTCTCTGGTGTTCTAGGAGGTGGGAGCTCCAGCTGAACACCTCACCACACTCTTTACATTTCAGTGACTTCTCCCCAGAATGGACTTTCTGATGTTTGATGAGACAGTGGTTTTGGCTGAATGCCTTGCCACACTCATTACATTTATAAGGTTTCTCCCCTGTGTGAATCCGCTGATGCACAATGAGGGATGAGTGGCAGCTAAAGGCTTTCCAACACTTGCTGCAGTCAAAGGGCTTCTCCCCTGTGTGGATCCGCTGGTGCACGATGAGGTAGGAGTGGGAGCTAAAGGCCTTTCCACACTCGTTGCACTTGAAGGGCTTCTCCCCACTGTGGATCCGCTGGTGCACAATGAGGTAGGAGTGGCAGCTGAAGCCCTTCCCACAGGCGCTGCACTTGAAAGGCTTCTCCCCTGTGTGTATTCTCTGATGGAGAGTCAGGCGGGAACGGTTGTTGAAGGCCTTCTCACATTCAGTGCATTTAAATGGCTTGTCCCCATTGTGGATTTTCTCATGCACGGTCAGGGATGAGTGACAAGTGAAGGCCTTCCCACACTCATTGCATTTGTATGGCTTCTCCCCAGTGTGGATTCTGTGGTGCCGGGTCAGGTGAGTCCTCTGGTTAAAGGCTTTCCCACACTCATTGCACTTGTAGGGCTTCTCCCCAGTGTGGACCCGGAGGTGCATATTGAGTAGTGAGCTGCAGCTGAAGGCCTTCTCACAGGTGTTACATTTGTAGGGTCTTTCACCAGTGTGAATTCTGTGATGTACGTTAAGTGACGAGTGGCAGCTGAAGGCTTTCCCACACTCGCCACAGAAGAAGGGCTTCTCCCCGGTGTGGATTCTCTGGTGCTCGATGAGGTTGGTGCTCCATGTGAAGGCCTTGCCACATTCCTTACATTTGTAGGCTTTCTCGCGTGCGTGCCAGCGCCGGTGCAGAGTGAGGGATGAGCTCTGAGGGAAGGCTTTCCCACACTCGCTGCACACAAAGAGATCCTCTCTGGCACTGGCAGCCTGCTGCCTGCTAACAAGTGGGTATTTTCTGTATTTACTCGACTTGCACGTATTTTTTTCTGTGCATGCTCTCTGGTGCTCGGTAACTGCCTCACTCTGTTGCAAATTCTCCATGTGGCTGTCAGGAGGGTCTCCATCTGAAGGAAGCCTCTGCTGGGTGAAGATGCTGCACCTGAGGGGAGAAGCCTCAGAAACCTCATATCCCTGCCAGCACTTCTCCATGGAAACATTCCCACAGCTGTCCAGTGCTTGCCTCCAGAATACAGCCTTGCCTCTGGACAGAGCTCCCCCTGCAGGGCCCTCCCAGGACCATCCAGTTCCTGGACTGGAGCTGTGAAGTCTGGGTCTCACCAGCCATTCTACCATTGGCTCCTGCAATGGCTCTTTTTTGTAAAGGTCCTGCTGCTGAGACAGCTTCTCCTTCAGCTCAGGCCTAAGCTCCCATTCTGTGAGAAAGGGAAAATACAATTTTCTGTAAGCAAGAAGTGTGTCACTGGAACTCAGACTTGAGGTTAGCCCTGGAGATGTGGAAAACATGAGTAAAAAAGGGTAGAGCAAGAGAGTGGGGTGGTAGGGAGACAAGGGAGTGTACCCAGGGTAAGCCTGTAAATAAATAGGAGTAGAGGAAAGGGGTGGAAGAACAGAAGCCATAGGGAAGTCAAAAAGAGTTGGTACTAGGAAAGGAGCACAGCTTATAGGGCTTGGGGTGGAGATGATTCATTTGTTAAAAAAGACACAACAGGCCCAAAACGGAGTCACTTGTGCTAAGCCCAAGTCACCAAACCAGGATCAATACCTCACCTCATTACAGTCTCAGCCTCTCCCAGGAATGCAATCTCAACCAGTTAGTCTGGAATTTCCCATCTTGCAATCTGCCTAATAGAACCTTCCTTTCCCTTGGTGATCTTGTCTGAAAAAATCCACTCTTTACTAGAATCTTCCCTTCCCTGAATCCTTCTGCCTATAAAAGTTCTTCATTTTGTACAGCTTTCGATCTACTTGATGGGATGTTGCCTGATTCATGAATTGATGAATACAGGATAAAGCCAGAAAGATCTTTAAATGTGCTCAGCTGATCTTTTTTTAAACACATTTGAAACATCAACTGAGCAATTGTTATGTTAGAATTGGGCATGAATTTGGGGTAAATATAAGTCTAACAATAATCCAATTTAAATTTCCTGGTGCCAGAAGGAAACCCCACCTCTTCTTAGCATTTCCTTTAGAACACTTGAAATTGTAAATGTTTTCTCTGTCTTGAGATGTACATATATGCTTTTGAAAGTTAAATAAGACTCTTGCCAGCTTTGCACCCCGGAGAACATTCTGGAGCAATTTTGTAACCTGTGACCTGTGAATTCAGAGCAGATTACCTTTTGCTCCTCAGGCCGATTCTCCTCAGAGGGCAAGGCCCTGGCTCCAGTTCCACATGCACTCAATGCCCTGCTTCATTTTTCTTGCTGACATCTAACAAGTGCCATTTGTTAAATATTTCTGTACACTTATATACACTGGCAGAAGGCAGATGCCTTTGTTTGTTGTGTTCAGTATTGTATTCCTGACACAGAATGCCAAATACATGTGTTGTGGTAAGAAGGCAAGCAAGCAGGGAAGGATCTAGAAGGTACTGAGCAAATGTGGCTATAACTTGGGTAGCGGATCTGTGGGAAGGAAGCAACTTTGATGGATGGGGGCACAAGGGGAACTGAGGGCGGGAGTCCACATCCTTCCATTGTGTCCCCTGCTCACCTGGATGAGCCCCTCCAGAGACTTCACTGGGCACTCTCCATGGCTCCTCGCCTCGTTCCAGATGGGAGATCACATCTGGCTTGCAAACAGGAGGCCCTGCTCAAGAGGGAGGAAATGGCATAGCTCTGTCTCTTTTGCTCCTCAGGCCGATTCTGTGTACTGTGACTTTCTAGAATAACTGATAGCATGCCTGTGAATCAGCACTGAGAGAGGCATTCCATACCCGGGGATGGGAGCGTTCTCAGACAGGGAACCCAAATTGAGGCACGCACACCAAGAATCCCATAGGCACTGACATCTTCCTGGGAAAACTGCAGGGTAGGCTAGGTTCAGTCCTCTGTCCTACCCTACTCCCACGCCTCTGGACCAGTCACACTTCCAAGAATGGAGACCCATGGCATTGCTGAGTCCTCACATATACCCAGGCATAGAGACCACTTCCTGAAAGGCCTGGCATGAGGGCTGGTGATAAAGGGAGCCATCTTACCCAGGGCGAGAAGGTTCTGGTAGTTTTCCAGCATCACATCCCGGTACAGGGCCCTCTGAGGGGAGTCCAGCTGGCCCCACTCCTCCTGAGTGAAGTCCACAGCCACATCCTTGAAAGTCACTGATTCCTGGAATGACATACATGTTCTCATTCACCCAGCATGGGAGTGTTCATGGCCACTGTTGATTGAGGACCTTAGGAGTAAAGGGTTAACCTCAGGTGACCTCTCAAGCATAGAAGGTTGTGCTCTAGATATCATCTGTTGTAACATCCTGAACGCACTGGGGATCACCACATGAAAGAATAGTACAAAGAAACCAGAAACACAACTCAAATATTACCACTGCAAAAGGACCCAATCCCAGACAATAAGCCATTATTAACACCCTGAGGAAGAAAACCTTGTAATTATCATTAAGTTCTGTGCCCAGTGACCAAGGGAGCTGCTCCATGTCCTTCCTGCCTGCTGCTTCCCCCAATTCCTTCCTGTAGCAGGCCCTTACTCCCTTGTCTACCTGGCCTGTCCTGGTCACTGACATTGGGGTAACCTCCTCTGCCACTTGGTCATTCTGGTTCCAAGTGGCATGACAGCCCCAAATAAGGTCACCTCTCAAACACGTCTCTTCTGTGAGTTGGGGTTCATCACCCCTTCCAGGTTGCTGCCACAACGGTCTCCACTCATTCAACCAAACTCTGGCTCCTCCTTGCTAGTGAATAATCTCTCAAGACCAAGGAGTCAGGACTTCTCCTGACTTGTTCCAGAAGCTAGGGAAGAGGGAGGGGCTGGGAGAGCATAGAAAGGCAGGGGAAAAGATGCCCTGGGCAGGTTCTGGGCACAAGGAGAAAAGCACTGCGCTCTGCGCTTGGGCAGCAAGGGCGGGCGGACTGCTTCGTAGCAGCTGCTCACTAACTCCTCTCTCTTCAGAGACACTGGCAGCCTGGCTGAAATTGTAGAGAAGGCATCAAGTCAGGCATAATAATGAAAAATAAATCAAGGAAAGGAAGCCATGGTTCCCATCCTGAAAGTACTTCCTGGGGAGTAAGTGTGTGGGGCCATGCTCCCAAGGGTCACCAGGACTCCCTGAAGCCCTGGATCTGCATCAGCACTGGAGACAGGTGAGGTGACATGGATTACCTACCAAACCTTGAGCTGAAGCAGCAGCACCTTCCAAGTGTCTACCATGTGGTCAGGAAAAGCAGGACCCTCTATAGTCACAGGGGATTTGGGCCTGCCTTCAGATTTTTATATAGTTACCGGTGTTGCTATGGACAGAGTATATACTCCCCTCCCCAAGTCCTATGTTTAAAACTCTGACCTCTGATGTGACTGTATTTGGAGATACAGGCCTTTGAAGGTAGTTAAGATTACCTAAGGTCATAAGGGTGGGTCCTAGTCACATAGGACAGGTGGCCTTATAAAAAGAGAAACACAGAGATCTCTTTTCCCACACTGAGGAAAGGCCACATGAGGACATGGGAATAAAGGGTGGCTGTTTGCAAGCCTGGAAGAGTTCACATCAGAAACTGACCCTGCTGGCCCTCATCATAGACCTCCAGCCTCCAGAACTGTGAGAAAGTAAATTTCTGTTGTTTAAGCCACCCAGTCTGTGGTATTTAGTTATAGCAGCAAGGGGCGACTAAGACAAATATCAGCATGAACAGTACGTAAGATTAAACCATCCTCCATACCACACACAAAACTAAACCTCAGGTGGAACAAGGACCTAAATTTGAACACTCCTGGGAGACAAGATTCTGTAAATCCATGGACGCAATGACAGGAAACCCAGGAATCATGAGATTTATTTGCCTCATGAAAGTTTACAATTTATGCACAGAATGCTGACAAACCACTAAAAAAGAAAAACAAGAGAAATGGGAATACAATTCACAGAAGATTCTCAAATGGCTGATAAACATGAGGGAAGATACTCTCACTAGGATCCAGAAATGGAAAACCATTTCACACACAGCCAGAGGCAAAATATTCAAGGACCGAAATATCAAGTGTGGGCAGCCCCGTGGGGGGCCCCTGGGCAGTAACTGGGTCATCTGTTTTGGAAAGTGACTCTATCAACTCTAGGAAAGCTGAGTGTGGTTCCTTGTGCCTGGAAAGTCCACTTTGAGATTCCTACCCAGTCAGAGTAACAAAAAAACTGACTGCCCACTGGGAGGGGTGGATATACAACAGGAGACTGTGCAACTGTGCAAATGAAGAGGCTGGACTGCACAGTCCTCCCAAGGAGCTCTCAAGGTTACAGCAAGAGGTGCTAAAGTTGCTTTAGGGAGCCAAGCAAGTGTGATGCCCTTCATGGAACTGTCTAGAACCACACACAGTACCATGTAGTTTATGAATATCCAGATGTGCACCTCAGACAGCTCCACCATCTGCTGGAAAGAAGCACAGGATCTGACCCTGAAGACCTGCCTGGGCTCCCTACTCTTGCCTGTGCTAGCAAGAGACTGTGGGCCAAGGTGAGGGGCTCATGTCTGTGAACCATGGTAACACTAGTGCTGATGTAGTACTCATGTCACTGCATCTTGGTGACAAGAAACCGAGTTACTGCCTTGTGTGCAGCACCTATAGGTCCCAGGTAGGCTGCAGGGGGTCCTTCTGTATTTGCTATTGGCAACACCCTCTGTTGCTGTTACAGAGGGGGCCAGTGAGAGGGCAAGGAAATGGAAAGGAGGCAAAGAACATACTGCTTTATACACTACGTTTTATGTTTTAAAAATTATCTGAAGCAAATATGACAAAATGTAGACATTTGTTAATTTTACAAAGTAAGTGCATAGAATGTTGTTGTTATTTTGTTAAAATTTATATATATATATATATATATATATATATATATATATAAAACAAACAGGAAGAAGTGATCCAGGGAGGAGGAAATGTAAATTTCCAATGGACTTAAAAAAAGATTAATGATTTTTGTCAGGGAAATTAAAAGTACAACAAAATTAAGATGGTATTTTTTACCTATCAGAGCAGCACTAATAAAAACCCAGTAACTCGACAATGAGGAAGCATTGTTGGTGGGAATGGGAACTGTTATACCCCAGAAATAAATGTTCCTGCATACAAAGAAGCAAATGAAGGTTTGGGTGACATAGTACCATACTCACCAAAAACCAACCAAAAGGGTTAGGGGGAACCTTTTTAGGTGATAGAAATGTTCTTGGTCATGATAGTGGTGCTCACTGTATACACTTACCAAAATTCATCAAATCCTACACTGAAGACTGGAGAACTTGACTGTATACAAACATTACCTCAGGAATTCTGATCCAAAAAACCCCACTGGATTTCAGGGCGATGACAAAGGTGGGGGTGTGGGCCCATGCTGAGAACACGCCCATAATGAAGAAATGAAGAGGAAGGGTGATAGTGGCATTAGTAGAGGGAAGGAGAAAATGGGCAGAAACAAAGCTCTGGAAACATCAAAATATGATGCTGGTGAGAGGGGCCATCAGAGGGTATGTGGCTTCAGTGTGAGAGTGTCAATGTGCAAGGTAGGGTCCTTGCACAGGTCCTTCAGCGGGTATTCCCAGCCCACTGAGAAGAGCTCCTATCCAGTGTGTCTTCATCTGCAGCTCAGGGAACAAAAAGTCCAGATGGCATGTGTAGGAATCACATGCAGACTTGATAACAAAACTAGCACAGAGATCAGGACAGACCATCGGGGAGGTACCAGGAGAGCAAACACTTGACCATGAATGAGAGTGAGATGGCATTCAGCCGAGAAGGCAGAGCAACTCAGTCACCTAGGCTGCTGAGATAGCAGGAATAGCACCTCTGCACAAGAAGGGTGCTAGCTCCCTAAGGGCGGGCACTCACACAAGCGCACGCACACTTTGGTGGGCCAAGGTAAGCTGCAGGCATCACCACATCTCACTTTGCGTCCTTCAACTTGTATCTCCTAAGGATATTCTCTCATGCAATCGCAGTGCTGTCATCACACCCAAGAAATTTAATATTCATACAATCTGATTCAAGATACAATCCATTTTCAAATTTCCTTAGTTGTCCCAAACTATCTTTTTTTTTTAAAAAAGATTTTATTTATTTATTTATTTATACAAGCACTGGGTACAGTCAGAAGCGCGGGAGGGTGAGAGAACTCACCAGAGCCAGAGCGGGGAACAGAACAGGCAGAGTGACGAAATACACTGCTGAGGTGAGCAGTGGGCGTGGCAGGAGAGGTCTGCGTGCCATGTGGGACCCTTGCCGGTGGTTGGGGAACGAACTGGAGCTGCATCTCCTGGCAGCTTTGCAGCCCAGCACTCAGCTGCTGTGCCACCAGGGGAGGCCCCCAAACTATCTTTTAATTTTCTCTCTTGGATCTATGGCCCATCAAGGATCATGTAGTGCACAGGACCACCATGTCTCTTGAGTGTTTTATAGAATGAGAGCACATTCTAACACCTATGGAAGCTAGGCACACCTCACAGTACATGTTTTACAACTATTTCTACCTTTCTGAGTCAGAGAGCTCACTTCTCTCAAGTGCAGGTTAACAAATCAAAAAGATCCTAAAAATGTCAACCCTCCAGATTTTTAATACCCCACATTCTTCGTACTTTTCTAAATATGACGATGAGTGGAGGTGGACTAAGTGGTAGAACAAAATGAAAAGCAAAACACAAAGTCTACAAAAAGAGGGTCTTAGTACCAATTCTTTTGGGTCTTAGTACCAATTCTTTGCCGCAGTTCTAGAAAATTTAAACCTGCAGGTTTTTCCATGAAGGCCCTGGTACAGAGGAAAAGCACACAGGCCATGCCCTACCATTACTCTCAACCCAATTCTTGCAACACAGCAGGTTTGGGTTTAGCTGTTCCACACCCCCTGCCTGCTTCCATTCCAGAACACTTCTTCAAACAAGGACCAACTGCCACAAACATGCCCGGGGCCAACATGTGGAGTGGAATAAAGTGATCACATGTGAGCTGTCATCTATTTACTGGGGTCCCCCTAAAACCACTCCTCAGAGCTCCCAGCACAGTACTGGGCATGTTGGTCCTGGGTGATTGACTGACTTGTTGGACTGAATCAGACTGGAAGGGGCACTGAGGAGAGTTCATTTGAAGGGCACACCTGGGGTGTCACCCATATTGTCTTCGACTGGAACAGTTTCCACACACATGGCTTCCTGAGGGCCTAAGAGCATGACCCCAAATGGAAGTACTTGGATGACTGAAGATTCTGGGCAGGTAAGGAAGGTACCAACTCACTTCATGAAGGTGTTGAGAAGGAAGTAAAGATAGTCACTCACCTCAGACCTGGCTTCCAGGAGGCCCTGACCCAATTTATCCTCTGGATTCTCTTTGAGGGGAAGAGTGGTGTCCAGAGATGGTGAAGCTGGCAAGAGAAATGAGTCAACAGGGGCTGGCTTGCCCATAGCCACCAGGGACATCAATGAGCCCACCCCAGCCCTGGAAGGCGGGGGAATCAGAGAGGAGCCAAGAACCATTGCCCACAGGTAGGATGGGAAATGAGTCCCAATAACCTGCATATTATAATACAGCATCAGAGACTGCTGTTCAGGGTCTTAGACACCCCAGCGAATGAGGGAAAACACTGCCATTTCCTTCCTATGATCAGCATGTTTGAAACAGTGGGAACAAATGGTTGTGCACGGTGAAGAGACAGAAGGCCTGCTTATAGTGGGTACTTCTGGGAGACTAGCCTGACCTCTCGAAGTGTTAATCTCTTCAAGTGCAAATCCACAGACACACTGACTAAGAGTCAACTGTACCTGTCTCCTCGGATTTCGGGGCAGGGGTCTCCATGGCGGCCCTCGGCAGCGTCCCCCGGAGACTGGGCAGCTCTGCAGCCTCCTGGGCCCCAGGCTAGCCCCAGAGGAGCGGGTCCTGCTCCCGGGGCTCAGGGTCAGCGGTCTGCCGGGGAGCTCCGGGGGGGATTGCACACGCAATCGCGGCACAGCGATCACACGCCCACTGGGGTGAGGGTCAGTCTCGCTCAGCCCGCGCGCCACACCCCAGGCTGCGCTCTCGCCCCATCACCCGCGCCTTACACGGCCCGTCACACTTCTCCTGGGGACCGAGCCCGAGGCCAGGGCAGGTCTCGGGCTAAGCCTCCCGGACCAGTGGACATAGAGCGTGTATGGCAGACAGGACCCACGGCTGAGGACAAACCGACCAGAGGGGTCCACAAAAGGACAGCGACCGCCACAAAGGAGCACACTTGCAAGCCGCCGAAGGAAACTGCGCGTGCTCAGAACCGATGCGAACTACAACTCCCGGGAGCCTTTGCGCATTTTGGAGCCTCGGACTCCATTTCCCAGAGGAGGTCTGAGGCGCCATCGCTACTCTGTGCTCTGGACCTCGGCCACGGTGTAGCACAGACTTCTGGGAAGTGAAGTTCGAGTAGCACACCGTCACCAGGGAGAGGCGTGTCTGGAGAGTGCCCCTGCCGTGACACAGTGCTATAAAATTAGCGCAGTGCTGATACCAGTAACTGTCAATATTTATTGGGCACCAACCACATGCTAGGCATATTTTCAACAGCTTGATGCGTATTTGGGGTGCAGAAATGAGGTATTTGGGGCACAGAGCTGTGGATTACCTAAGTGGTAGGAGAAGGTAAGGCCAGGCTTTGAGCCAGGCGAAGTAACTCCAGAATCAGAGTTTATTACAGATTTCCCCTGCTCTTTGAAAGTTTGTGTTATACCACGTGATTTTAAAACATACTTACATTGGGCCTCCCGGTGGCGCAGCGGTTGAGCGCTGGGTTGCGAAGCTGCCCGCAGCCTCTGCGGCGCCGGTTCGATCCCCGGCTGCTCCCCGGCCACCAGAGGAGGGTCCCACATGGCGCGCAGATCTCTCCTGCCGCCCACTGCTCCCCTCAGCAGTGTACTTCGGTCCTTCTGCCTGCTCTGCTCCCAGCTCTGGCTCTGGTGAATTCTCTCACCCTCCCACGCTTCTGACTGTACCCAGTGCATGTATAAACAAAACAAACAAACAAACAAATAAATAAATAAATAAGACATGCCTCTATTAAAAAAAAATAAAATAAATAAAACATACTTACATTAGTACCTGTCTTGACAGAAAGTCGAAGACGAATTTTGCTTTTACAACAAAAGGCAAAAAGAGCATTCAGTACTTGTTTTGCAGCAATCCTTGAAGTAGCTGTACTGTAAGCAGGGAGAATTGCTTGGAGAACAAATTGCTTTCCTGGAAACTTCCCTGTATACGCTTCGTATATGTACCATATTATTCCTGCTTTCATTGCACGTTTTGTTATTTTGTTTATGTATTAATTGATATGCTTTGGTAGGTTGTTTTTGGGTCTGCAAATGCTCAAACATTTTTTCCATATAAATTATTGGTAATTTCTTCTTCAGCTTACAAAAAGCTTAATGGGAATGCTCTACTTTTGGTTAGCAGGGGAAACCTGTACCAATTTCCTACTAACAGCGGTCTGGAGTGGATTGGAATGGTGCAGACTGGAAAGTCTTCAGATTCCCACCTTGATCCCGGGTAGACTTAACCATAGGCTGTACTTGACACCTATGGTCAAGTGCACATATCATCATAGCTGTGCTGGAACTCCTTTGTTGAGTGCAGATGGTCAGTAGTTACCCCAGGGCAGAAGCTTGGGATGATGTGGGACTGAACGTCACAAATGTGATTGAATCTGTGAGTGTGATGGTGTGTGACTGTTGCCTTATAGGGCCGGCCGTATATGTGTGAATCTGCATATATGTGTATGTATTTGTGTCTCTATGGGCCCTACAGGTCTAGGTGAGTTTGTTTATATGCCTAAAGCCAGTGTGTGTTCATGTCTGACTTTGTGCTATACTTGCCTCATGTTCCTCATCTGTATGACTGTGCAGGTGAGAAAGACATGCACCTGTGTACAGGTGACTCTCCCAGACTGTGTGGGATTGCTATTTACATTTATTGTGGTTTTGTTAGCATGTATTTCTATTGCATACTATTTTTTTCTTTTTTCCTTTGTCTCTGCCCCACTACTCTCTCATGTTTTTCAGGATCCAGGCAGCACAAAACCAAGGACTAATTCTCATATCTTAATGGTAAGTGCCTCGAGGGGGAAACTATGATAGGGACCCCAAGGTGCCTAGTGGCTGAGAGGCATGAACGGCTTTATCACAACCTGCTGCTCAGGTGGCAGCACATGGAGTAGCAGTGGTGGTTTCCTGCCCCAGCGTGTGCAGGCTTCAGGCTGGCATAGATTGCTGTGAAAAGGCAGCAGCAGTGAGTGTGTCATTGCCTGCCACCCTCAGTGTGAGGGGCTTCAGCAGTGGTGCTCTGGCAACTCTGAAAGCTGCTGGTAGAGGCAACACAGAAATGGTTTTCCCACCCTGCCACCCCAGGGTGTGCAGCACCCCTCCCGGTTCTAGCAGCAGAGGCTTTGAGGCTTCAGGCCTTGAGGAGAAATGTTGGGCTCCCCTGGAGCACAGGCAGTAGAAGGCCTCAGAAGGCCAGTGGCGCCCACTCTTCAGCAGCTGGGACATGTGTCCAAGTGCTGCTGCAGTAAATGCTTCTTCTGTAACCCCTAAACACATCGTTACACCCAGTCCCGCTAAGAGGGCACTGAGAGCCAAGCGCCTCTGACACCCGCAGATGCTGGCTCCAGCTGTGGCGTCCCAGAGCTCACTTGTCTAGAACTTGCCCTGCCCTCAGTGCAGATCAAGTTTGTGTAGGCGCCGGGGTTTTCAAAACCTTTTGTTTCTGGCACAACAATCATAAATGGACCAATCAGGTTTGAGCTCTCTGGCTCTCCATCATGGGCTTGAGCTCATTATTCTGATCAAAAAGGGAATAAACCAGGCACCACACAGGATCAAAAAACAGTCCAATTAGACTTGTAGGGTGGAGGTCACTGAAGAGGGTATAAACAGGGCAAGAGCCAGCTTAGGATTCACTCAGCAGTCAGGGTCCAAAATAAGAAGGATTCCACAGATAGCCTCCAAAGAAGGAGCATCAAGTAGACAACCTCCATGGCATTCAGCAGACTTTCACGGGACTCCGAGACCTCCATAGACCTCCAGGCCTCCATAGCCCTTTGCAGAGAACTGACCACTGCACCTACTTCTGGCCCTGCCTCTGACGTTGCATGCAAGCAGCACCATTGGCCTAGGCCTCTTGGCTGTTGTTTCATACCAGTAGCTCATAAAGAGCTGTAACACTGGGGTCTCTGCCACCACCTACTGGTGACCATTGCTGACCAGCACTACTGAGAAGTGACCAACACTCTGTGTCCAGCTCTCCACCACTGGAGAGCTCTCCACCACTTCTGATCACCCAGACCATCTCCTGGTTCTGTTGCATCTCTTGCTGTCCAGTCTGGTGTCCAGACTGGTGCTGTCCAGCCTGGCCTTCAGGCTGTTGCTGTGACTGCTGTGGTGTCACCTCAGCAGCCCCGCCTGTGAGAACCTGTAACTGCCACCATGAATTGGATCTTGACCTACTGCTTACCAGTGTGCCACCAGCTCCAGGCCCTTGTTGGCAAGACAGCATCTTCTTGCACGAGCAGTCTTTAGGACCACTGGCTACCATCTGGGGTGAGACAGCTGGCCACTTGTGGCTTTAGAAACCCTTTTCCCCCAGTCTCCTGTTAAATAAGCCCCATTGTTGTTTCCTGAGCCTGAGTGGTCTTGCAATTGTTAGTGCACAGGTGAGAACCCACAAACAGCGACCTATCCCTCAACTTTGGCACCCTTTTAAGTGCTGTTTTAGTACTGTTTTAGAACTAACAGGAGAACAGCAAATTGCAAAAACCTGGTATTGTCTTAAGATGTTGACAAGGTACACTTTGTCAAGAGAAAAACAACCACAGAGGCCAGCAAGTCTGCCCACACCAAACCCCCCTCTCCAATATAATCACCTCATTGAGCCTGAGAAGGCAAGGTGGAAGTTTGGGACATTTAAGTCCGCCATCTTCTCAGGTCACTGGCACCTCATTAAATTGCTCATACCAAACCTTACCTCGGTTCTCATGTGATGAGCAGCCAGACCTTGGCCTCTGGTAACAAATTTGCAACCACTTAGGGATGGATGGCATGTCAGTGAGTGCCCATTTTCCAAGAATCAGAGTAGTTGGCCACAGAATTGTGCCCAGGCTAACCTAATCAAATTTTTCCTACTGGACGGGGCCTTGGCTACTTAGGACACACCCACCGCCTCTCCAGGATAACCAGTCCTGTGGGGAGTGAATTTGAGGACTCCCAGCAGCTGCCAAGACATGTTTTATCTTGGGGATTTTACCTTTTATTCTCCCCAACCAGCACCAAGTACCCAAATGCATAGATGCTTGCATTGCTATTGAAGGAAAAGAGTTTTGGTTTGGGGATCAAAGGACACAGAGGCAGGCAACTTTCTGGTGTGCATGGCCAGAAGTCCTCTATCCATGCCATTTGTGGCCATCAGTGCTGTTTGTTGGATAGATTCCAACAACAGGTACATAACAAGGTTTTGTGACATCTACCTGGCTCTTCCCCAGTTTTTTTGATATTTGGTTTTGGCTACTGTGCAGCTCTGATTGGCATGAGATAAGATTCTAAAGACAAGCATTCCCAGCTTCCTGTGAAGAAAGATAAATTTGTTCAGTGAATGCTCAGTGTCTGTTTGAAAATAAACCTGTAAAAATGGGCAGTTCCATTCCAATTCCACCTAAGATCCCTTTGTATCTCATACTAGCTTTGAGATTTAATGGGTTAAACTAAAACATGCATGTCTTTGATTATAATGAAGAAACAAAGCAAAAAAATGGCCCTTGAAAGAAAACAACTTCAAATAGCAACTGCCTTAGACTTCTGATAATAAAAATATATTCTGAAAGTCCTAGGAAAACTTACACTATTCCTCTGCCCCGAAAGTTATAAAACTGATCAGTCTTTTGGGCTATGGCCATCCTGGGTGATAACTAAGGCACTGCCCACAGAAACTAAAGTAAAGAAAAAAAGTAAAGGAAAGGGAAAAAAAGTAAAGAAAAAACTAAAGTAAAGAATAAAATCAAAACAGAACCATTTAAAACTCAGGATGCGGGCCTCCCTGGTGGTGCAAGGGGTTAAAGACAGCACTATCAAGTTATCTCCAGCATGAGTTCGATTCTCCGACAAGGGAGTAACCCACATGGCAAAGCAGACCTCCCCTCTTTTGCTGGCTGCTCCCCTCAGCAGTGTATTTCAGTCAATCCACCTGTTCTGTTCCCCATTCTTTCTGGTGAATCCT